CAGACATCGAGCAAGAGGGGAAACAGAAGCACAGCAAAGCGTGACTTGCTCAAGATCACAGCAGAGCCAAAATTTGAACCTGGCTCTCCTGAGTTCCAGTGCAATACTCTATCCATTAGCCCACGCTGCCTCCAAGGGAGCATGCTTTTTGAACAACGGGATACATGCAGGGGTGGATGATACAGCCTTCAGCACCAAGTGTATGTAATGAAATTGAAAAGTCCAACTGATCAGATGGGAAGGGAACAGGAACTTCAGTGGCCTGAGCAGAGACTCTGCTCCATGTTCAACAGCTGTTTTCAGCCACAGAATTAAAGGAGTCAGTGAGCAGCTGCTCAGGCTTGGGCCAGGCTGAGATTTTCCTGCAGATTTTTGGTCAGTTTGAATCTTTTTGCCAATCCCGTGAGCCCGACTTGTATAGCAGATGGTTCAATGCTGCTTCATCAGGGACTTAGCACAGCACCCCACCTGCCTTCTTCCCAGGTAAGAGAGGTTTCACCTCATGCTCACTGGGTCACCCAGAGCATTCTGGGACCATCGCTCTGCCCAGAGCTGCGGGACAATGATGGTGACAGCTGCTCAGAGCTTCAGCGGGACTGAACTGTAGGGATCTCTCCACAGGCTCTGTGCCAATTGTCTTCCAGGCTGAGCCCAACACTTCCCAGTAGCAAAGGGTGATGCCTCAGTATTTCATAGTGGAATCTATTTCCTGTGGCACTCAGTGGCCCTGCTGGTTCTTTCAAACTCAGGTGCTGTGTGGGGAAGGAGCTCCTGGCTGCGGTACACTGAATGGGGCAGCCTCTGGATAGGGTGCTCTAAGCAATCCTGAAGCACTTGCATGAGAGGAAAGTGATCAGGAACAGCCAGCATGGATTCACCAAGGGAAGGTCATGCCTGACTAATCTAATCTAATCGCATCGCCTTTTATGATGAGATTACTGGTTCTGTGGATGAAGGGAAAGCAGTGGATGTATTGTTTCTTGACTTTAGCAAAGCTTTTGACACGGTCTCCCACAGTATTCTTGTCAGCAAGTTAAGGAAGTATGGGCTGGATGAATGCACTACAAGGTGGGTAGAAAGCTGGCTAGATTGTCGGGCTCAACGGGTAGTGATCAATGGCTCCATATCTAGTTGGCAGCCGGTATCAAGTGGAGTACCCCAAGGGTCGGTCCTGGGGCCGGTTTTGTTCAATATCTTCATAAATGATCTGGAGGATGGTGTGGATTGCACTCTCAGCAAATTTGCGGATGATACTAAACTGGGAGGAGTGGTAGATACGCTGGAGGGGAGGGATAGGATACAGAAAGACCTAGACAAATTGGAGGATTGGGCCAAAAGAAATCTGATGAGGTTCAATAAGGATAAGTGCAGAGTCCTGCACTTAGGACGGAAGAACCCAATGCACAGCTACAGATTAGGGACCGAATGGCTAGGCAGCAGTTCTGCGGAAAAGGACCTAGGGGTGACAGTGGACGAGAAGCTGGATATGAGTCAGCAGTGTGCCCTTGTTGCCAAGAAGGCCAATGGCATTTTGGGATGTATAAGTAGGGGCATAGCGAGCAGATCGAGGGACGTGATCGTTCCCCTCTATTCGACATTGGTGAGGCCTCATCTGGAGTACTGTGTCCAGTTTTGGGCCCCACACTTCAAGAAGGATGTGGATAAATTGGAGAGAGTCCAGCGAAGGGCAACAAAAATGATTAGGGGACTGGAACACATGAGTTATGAGGAGAGGCTGAGGGAGCTGGGATTGTTTAGCCTGCAGAAGAGAAGAATGAGGGGGATTTGAGGTAGCTGCTTTCAACTACCTGAAAGGGGGTTCCAAAGAGGATGGCTCTAGACTGTTCTCAATGGTAGCAGATGACAGAACGAGGAGTAATGGTCTCAAGTTGCAGTGGGGGAGGTTTAGATTGGATATTAGGAAAAACTTTTTCACTAAGAGGGTGGTGAAACACTGGAATGCGTTACCTAGGGAGGTGGTGGAATCTCCTTCCTTAGAGGTTTTTAAGGTCAGGCTTGACAAAGCCCTGGCTGGGATGATTTAACTGGGAATTGGTCCTGCTTTGAGCAGGGGGTTGGACTAGATGACCTTCTGGGGTCCCTTCCAACCCTGATATTCTATGATTCTATGATAAGGCAGTACATCCTTGGCGTGGGACCCCCCTTCATTACCCAGATGGAACTGGGCTCTAGTCACAGCCCAGTTCTCCACAGGACGACTCATGCTGAAGAAACCCCACAGGGGCTTCTCAAACATATACAATGCAGGGAAGGGGGGCACAGGCTCCCCACTGCTCACCCCAGGCAGGAGGAGCATGTGCCTATGACAAGAACAAGGGACTATTAAAAACAGAAAAAAATCAGAACAGCCACTTATTTACACCCTGGAGAAACAAGGAGTTTGTCACATTCTTCCAGGTGACATTAGGAGTCTGCCTTTTAAATCCTTTTTAGACTTAACGTCTCCAACATGCTTCATGAACCTAAGTAACAAGTCAGCAGCAACAGAGCTGGAACAGAATCCAGGAGTCCCAGCCCCACAGCTAGCCGTGAGCCCATGCTGCCCCTCAGAGCCAGGATTAGAACCCAGCGTCCACATTTCTCAGTCTCCGACAGTGCTGTCTACCACAGCCGCCAATGCACCTCAGCCCTGTCCTGGAACACCCCATTGGTCCAGCGAGTCGATAACTGCAGGTTTGAGTTACGGGTGTTCTCGCAAGCGATCAGTGGCTGGAGAGGACTGGGGGAGGGGGAAGCAGAGGGGACACATCAGCCTGGGCCCTCGTTGTTATGCTGTTTCATCTCTCCCATCCAGGCTGACCTTTTTTGCTGCTCTGCAGTCACAGCTGGAGTTTGTGAAGGAGACAGCTGGGGCCCCATTAGCGCCTCTCCGTGCAAGCAAATAGTGACGTGCAGTTATTCACAGGGACATGCACCGAATCTCAGTGGGGCTGGGATGACGCTCAGATGCTGAAGGGGAATGAAATTCACAGCTGTCTTCTCCAGAAACAGGAGCTTGAGTAAAAAGGAGAATTTCATTACCACAGCTGCTTTTCACAGTGGTGCTGATCCCTTCTACAGTGACTAAATACGCAACCTATCACCTGCATTTCACTTGGCATGACGTGGAATCCAGTACTTGGACTGTCTGTTTTTGGAGCACCTATCTCAGACTCCCAGCCCTCGCACATTCTCTAAGGTGAGCAGCAATCAGAAAGGAACTGATCTCATCTCCCCATTGGAATGGTATCAAGAGTCTCTCCATTTAGAGCTGCTGGCCCAGGATTACAAGTACAGGAGTCTTTATCCCATGTAGAGAGCAGGGCAGGAGAATAGGCTGCGCTAAGAAGTGGCATGTATATCTGTACCTCGGCAAGGTCCATATTGGAAATAAACTCATTTTTCTACAGTTTTACTGGACTTTGCTACGTTGGTCATAAAATGTCCTCAGTTAAGGCAGTCCACTCACTGTGTATTCAAAATTCCTACCAAACAGTGAAATCAGCTTTCAAATGAGTTCTGTACAAAACAAAACAGCTGCCAATGGACCTGTCCTGCACTCATACAGCTCTGCCAACTGCACCTGAATTCTGACCTGCAGCACTCCCTGATGCTAGGCCTGAGGCTTTCCACAGCTCTGACAACACATTCAGTTCTGAACTTCAGCACCCACTGTTACTCCATTCCTGAGTTCCTGTGCACCTCATCCCTGTCCTGCAACACCCCGCTAATCCAGCCTCTGACTTTTATGTGCATTGAATTAATTCACAAAATTCTTCTCAATAAATGAAAAGAAGAACTCTGGCCAAGAGAAATCCTCATTAGTAAAGAGAAATTACAGTCATCCCACTGCAGATCTGCACAAGCCGTCTTCTTCGAAAAGCAGCAAATATGTATTGAAACACACATCACATTAATGATCAACATATCCATGGATCTGGCTTTGGGAGTATGTTTCGTTTGAGTATTGGTAGTACACATGCAACAAAGGACCTGAATTGAAATGCACCTAAACTCCCGCCTTAGGACACAAGGAGAAAAACCTACTTTGCAGAAACTAATTTTTTCCATCAGTGTATTTTGGAACCTGTATATCTCTCTTCCCCAGCATTCCCATAGTCAATGCTCCATATCCTGGCAAACAAAGGAAAACTGGATGATCTAATACAGAATTAAGCTACAGCTAGAGAGCTGTTGGCACATGCCTTGAGTGTGTTTGGAAACACTAGGCTAAAAACACTAATGGATGAGTGAGTCTTTTAACTGCAGGGCACCAGAGATTCCTTTTGCACCCCCTTCTTGTCCCCCAAATACCCAGCTCTTCCAGCATGTTTACAAATGGCGGATAGGGCCATAAATCATTGCTGTGAATGAGCAGCTTGACCCTTCAAATAAAGGGGCAATAGTAAACTACTGCTTTTTCTCCTTCATCCCTGCATGTCCCCCACCACCAGCCATGATGACCTCATCACCTCTCAGCCTCTCCAAGCGCCCTATCTTTTGCCCACCCACTACCACCCCAAACAGACAATGAAGACACAACGGGATTTTGTGCGTGTGAAGCCAGGCACTGTTGATAGTTAACACATTACTGTGACGTCTTGTGTTTCAAACAGCCAGTCAGAATGCAGCAGAGAACCATCAGTCTCTCAAGCCAGATTCCAATGAGTTGTTTCTCCATCCATAGTATCTATGAAGTATCCCTTCCTCATCCTGAGACTGGAAACGGACCAGAGAGTCAAACTCAGATTGTCTGCATGGCAGGACAGAGCACCAACCTGTGAGGCAATGGGTCTGGCCTTGGCCCCCCTCTGAGTCCTGGTTCCTGCCTGTGAGTTGCTGAACCTAAGTGACTTGATAAAGACTTGGAAATCAGATGGAAGCAGTTTAGCAATTTGCAGGTTTAATCCTTCACCCACAAGGCTTGCAAATCACAAGACCTTTTTTTTTTTTTAAATGGGTCATAAATTAACCATATGAAAATTGCCTAAGCCCACAACTAGATCACAAAGTTTAATTTTATTAGGGTCAAAGGAAAAACAAAACAAAAAAATTGTATAAGCACCAAGCAAACAATGAAACCTTTACAAAGGGAAGGCCATCATTTTTGGAAATCTCTGCAAATCCACATTTCAAAAGCAAGGTAATTTATCCTGAGAAGGCAGGAAGGTGTTAGGAAACCCCAGCAGTCAGTACTGCTCTTTCCCTCCCATCCCAACACTCCCCCACCCCATTACACATGAAGACACAGATTGTGCAGCACAGCTTCCTCGGGCAGCTCATTCCACTGAATGCATTTATTTAGAAGTACTGTTCTCTTCTCATTATTGATTATTTGCTTAAAATGTTGGCGCTGCGCAAAGCCCAACAGCTCTGAGCTATGAATTATTAACAGAAGGGAGCCTTAACGGTTTCCTGTCAGAAAGTTCACCTGTTGCTCTGCATACCCCATGATGAAAGCACCGCTTAGAGCAGCGTTACCTTTCCAGAGCAGATGGCCTCGTGCGGGCGTTCCAGATGCCTCTGCACTGCGCTACAGCTTCAGAATTATTTCCAGAGACTGCTGTGCTAGGTGGATGGGAGACCATTGCTCCAGCAGGAAAGGAAGTCAGGGAGACCTGAGGTTTCCTAGACTCTACTTTCTGGGCCATATGTGCAGAAAGCAGCTGTAGGGCTGCTAGGCTCTGCCCGGTCCGAGGAAGGATGGTTTGGGGGGTTAAGCCACTGGACAAGGACCCAGTTTGATTCCTATCTTTTCCACTGACTCCCTATATGACCATGGGCTAGTCCTTGATCTCACTGTGCTTCACCTGTAAAATGGGGCTAATAAAGCCTCCTTTGTCTGTTTTGGTTGTAAGCACTGCAGGACGTGGGATCAACCAACAAAATTGGGCCTCTATCTTGACTAGAGCCTCTCAGTGCTACCATGAAGCAAATATGATACCACCACCTGTGAGTGTTCCTAGCTTCACCTTCCAATGGATGGGAAATCAACATCTGTTAATATGACCCAAGTGTAGTTCTTCATACAGCAACAGGGTGGTTGCTGCCTTTTTCTTGGAGATGCTGATCACTCCCATTTAATGTGAAGCTGTCAGGGTCTGCAAAAAGGAATTAAAACGGGAAGAAAGGGTGGAGCAGGCACAATAATTGAAAACAGATGTTTCCTGGACTATCTTTTCACAGTAAACATGACAGTAAAGGCTGGGACAGTGAGACACCACCAAAGAGAGGTACGCAATAGACTGTCTAACTGTGTTCCTTGTTTCAGTGTTCCATTTATAGATGGAAACACTGGTGGGGGAAGCAGATAGGATGGAAGTTTTGGTTTAGATTCACTGGTGTGACACAACAGAGCCTTATTAAAGGAATGTTAACATGTGGGGTGGGGAAACCATTAAAAAGAAACAAATGGGAGCATTAAGCAGACATTCAGTGTTGACCTGCAACATTGCAGTTTTGTCTCCCAGGCAAATTTACCTAAGACATTTAAGACATTAGTTTACTGTAAAGACTGGGATTTTTAAGAGGGAAATTCCAATGTTGTTATACCAAAGACTCTATAGGGACAGACACTATTTGCACAGGGTAAAAAGCACCCCTCTACAGAGGGCAAGCCCAAATCCTGTATGCCACGTATGTCCCACATAAGCCTTCAAAACAGGATTTTAATAATGCACAGGCTTTGTACTGCTCCTCTGTACAGGGGAGAATTTCATCCTTAATGTATCAATCACCCAGGCAACAAAAAGGCATGCAGGGGCTTTTTACCGATCATGCTTTGTACAGTCTAACATTTGCCTTCAATGTAGTGAAGTTAATTAAAAAATAACAAAATGCAAAATCAAAATACTTGATGCGCTTTCACACAGCAACCTCCACCTGCATTTCAACTGCATGTCAATTTAGTCTGGAGTCCCACATGCCATTTTTCCCTCAGCCAAGTGACAGACACTCCATATGCCTTGCTGTTGATCACAACGGGTACACTGTCAACCTGACTAAAGAAACAAGATCTAGAGAACAAGTTTGTCTGAGTGTGCTGAATGCTAAGCCAAACTTGGGTGGAGGGAGGTTCTGCACACCAGCTCACAGGGTGACTTTTACCTAAAGTAACAAGGTCCTCGGGCGTGAAATTACAGCAAAGCAGAGAAACAACACTTACAGCATTTACAGAGTCAACAAGGCAGTCACTGTGGCATTCAGACCTTAATGAGAGCATTAAGGCTCTGAACTGAAGGCTTGGCCAACCTGCTTTCCCACTCGCTAACCATATGAAACCCTACACATCCACAGCAATAACTAGAAAGACTTAAAGAAAGACTCCTTGATGTTATCACATATCTGAAGGAAGACACTTACTAGCTCCCACAGCCGAGGAGCCCAAGAATCACCACCACCTGGCCAAGAGTTTCAAAAGTGACTAGTGATTTGGGGTGACCAATCTGACACACTTTGAAAGAGCCTGTTTCTCAGAACATGCTGAGCATCACATGCATATTGTTCCCTCTCCTTCTCCTCTGGTCCCTGCTGCAGAGTTACCTTAAAAAAAAAAAAAAAAAAAAAAAAAAAAGAAAAGAAAAGAAAAGAAAAAGAGTTAAATAAAACATCCGGGGCAGTAAGCAGCCAACCCTGCAACTATGCAGGAGGAAATGTAGCCGAGTGGTGACGTAAGCACTTCATCAATACTCATCCCTAGTGAGTGCACGGGACTGAACAGACAAAGGGAAGTCCAGTGTCCTCTACTACATTTCAAATGTAATTTTCCAGATTAAAGCCATGCATGGTTCTCTGAGTGTTGCACTATTTCCTTTCCTGACTTCTCCAGCTCTGACCCAATAGTGTCATGTTAAATCAGAGCCACACTGCTGCACTGTCTGCCCTTTTGACCTTGGTACAGCAGCTTGCTCGGCTATTGACCTGCAAACGTGCTGAAAGATACACCTGCCCTACACATCCACCGGTGTTTGCTTTCCATCATATACACTCACCGTTCAACCACCGCAGCCCCCCACTTCAGCACTGCATCTCTACACATGGACAAACCTATTCACAGACCATTCTCTGCGCCAGTCTCTCATACAGCCAATCTCATCTGCTCTCTCTGATGCGTGTGCTATTCACACAGGATGAAATGGGCCATCCACGGGCAGGGCTCCAAGCTTATACACTACTAAGTTCCATTTAAACCCTCGGAATAGGGCTTAGGTTGGGCACCGTGCTTGTGCTGTCTGTCCCTCTGCACTGAGGGAAAGTTCACCCACATTCCCTCTCTAAGACCCCTGCACTGGTTTCTACAAGACTGATGTAATCTGGTTCATAATATAGTACAGGACTGTAAAAACTCAGGTATAGTTCCATACTGCATCATCATTCCGGAGGGTCTTTGACCAAAGGGAACTTGTACGCATCCTCGTAGATTTGGGAAACTGAATCACAATAATTAACAACCCTTTTTACCCCATAGATGGTTTCCAGACATTTTACACACTGGAGACAAGAATTCAAAGGACATTAAATGTTTCTTTAAACACACACAAAAACACACACACACACAAACACAGTAATCAATAAGATTAAACGAAGCCCCTGTGTTTTCACAATATCTAGGATCATAACCAGGAAAACAGAACTCACGGCAAATGAAATCACATCCCATTAAAACAGATAACTAACAAAAATCACAGTTTGTTTGAAAGTGCAAGTTTCTCCTTGGAAAGTATCTCCTGGACAGGGAGATCTGAGGGATTTTTCTCTATGGTATGGACTGTCTTGTTTGCTGAGATTCTTAGCATTTCAGAGAGTCATTGCCTCTACTGTGCTGCTGTTTCGGGGGTTTGTTTTTTGTTTTCCCCAAATGCTGTTATCTGCAAATAATGTTTCCTAGGAGTATGCAAGCAGCTATTTAGCAGATGAGGACTATTGAGAGAGAGCGCGGCTGTGAATTTTCCTGGTGCCAGGCAGTACCCGGGCGCACAGTCTAACATAGTCATTTCTTCCTATTAAGTTTTGCTCTGCTCTATCTAATAATAATGCAGGTAGGCAGCTGCTGGATTTTCAAACGGTTTCTTACCACTACGTTCTGAAAACGGGTTGTGCAGGCAGAGCAGAGAGGAACAGAACCGAGAGCAGATGATGTACTCTTCTCCGCTGGAGGCTTGCGGAGTGAAATCACTGGGTGGGAAACCTTTATTAATGAATCTTACAAGCATTTTTTTTTTCTAGGAAAGTTTAAGCAGCTGGCCGACAATATTGGTTGATCCTTTTTGGTCCGCAGGTGTGTCGCTAACCTCCTGTTTTTTTCCTGGCTTGCTTTGACTTCCGGGGTTTAAGGATGGTGTAGTTTGCATATGACGTATGCCGCTCGGACAGGAAAGGGACATAGAAAGCACGCAGCAGCTTTGAAGACCTGAAACCAAAAGGGAAAACAGACTGGTTTTAAAGTGATCATTTAGAAGACATGTTTTGAAGTGCCACAAAAGAACAGCTGATGCCTGGGACTAGGGCCTTGTGTCTGTAATGTGGGGAACAGCAATGAGACAGACACACCAGGCTCCATTCTGCCTTTTCTTCATCAGTCAAACCAAAGTTGTTTTGTGTCAGGATTACCGGTTTTAGAGCAATCAGCCCTACTAGTTCAGAACTCTTTCCCCACTCTCCATTCCTGCTGTAATGGCAGTGATTATGAAAAGATGGTTACTCCTAGATGTTATGGGCCAAAAGGCAAACAGTTCAGCCATGAGGAGGTTGCACAGGGCAGTTATTCCAAAACTCCCCACCCCGGAAGAGCAGCAAGGGAGACGTTAAGAGTCAATAAGTTAGCTGCTTTGCACTTGGCTTTTCCATTTTCCTAATGTCTACTCATTTTAGGAAGCATGCTCTTCCCCCCTCTCCCCCAACAGAATCCCTACAGCAGAGACAGAAAGAAACCCCAATTGGCTCTAGGGTTTCAGCATACCACTCTTCTGCCGCAGCATCTCAAATTAGAGACGGGTTGAACCATCCTGTGTCCTGCCAGGTGACTTGCTACAGGCTGTTAATCTTCAGAGGGATGTTTACCCCGACCCTCTTGGGTTGGGAACTAGGATTTAGCAGCAGTACTTTGCTACGACTGGACCAACTGAGCACTTGTGTGAGACAGGCTTGATGGCTGTATCAAATTAGTGTCCTTTTGTTTGGCTAATCGCTGTAGCACTGCTAAATTGGTACATTTTAAGTGCATGTATTCTTCCACTGAGCAGATAACATTAATTCCTTGTTTAAATAAGGAGTGCAAAAATAAGATAATTTCCTTCATCATCAGCGCCGAAAATTCCACTGAAAAGCCATGCAATCTTTAGAAATTGGTGCTGGGGCAAGGGTGTTTCATTCTGAATACCAAAGCTAATTTTAAGACTTATCTCTTTCAGATTACATTGCTGGGAAACCATCAGCCTTGATAGATGTATAACTAATGCCTTCAATGCAAATGCCTGCCAAGCAGCAAAAGGCTGGATAAGCAGCAGCAACGGTCAAAACTGTGATTTATAACATGCTGAGAGGCCAGGGACAGCACATAGATCCAGTGTGTGTTATCTGGACACTCCTGAGATGCTCTATAATTCGAGTAGCTTGCTGATAACACAGCAGAGTTCGTGGAATCCAATGGAATCTTACTAGTGCTGCCTGTGCCGTATTCAATTCACTCTATTTAAGAAAAGGCGGCTGGTGGGTTTGCTTTTGTTTAGAAGCAGCATGAAACCTATTTCTAAACCAAAGATGCAGCTGAAAAACAATGACAGGAACTGCCATTGTGAACACAGGCTCCACGTGGACTCCAAAGGTACTTGGAAAATTCAGTGCGTCACAGTACTTGGGAACAAATGGAGACCACCAAACTCGTGATCTCTTGCAACCTGGAATACAGGTTTCCCGCAGGAAAAGGCATTATTTATTATTTGTATTAAAGTAGGGCCCACAGGCTCCAATCAAGATCAGGCCCCATTTTGCTTGGTACTGTACAAACACCGAGTAAGAGACTTTTCAGGCAGGGACTTTCTAAATAGACAAAGGGTAGGGGAAAGGGAAGTATCTTTATCTCCAGATGGTAAACTGAGGCACCAAGAGACTTGCCCAAGCTCTCAGAGGCAGAGCAGAGGATTGAACCCAGTTTTGCCTTAACCAAAAGACCACACATCCTCTCAACATCCACCATCCCTCTTGTCTGCTTCTAGCCAAGCACAAAGACTGCTCCCCTTTGGGATGTAAAATGAGGCTTACTTCATTTCAGAAGGGAGAGAACCAAAAGTTCCATTCATTTTCTGCAATAACATTTGGGCCCTTTGCAAATTGTAAAGCATCCAGCACGTTCCCAAAATAAAAGAACCATTGGAAATCCTCGTTCCTTGTGAGATCCTGAGCTGCTAGAATGGGAATGTGTTCTAAGCACAATCACTTAGTAGCAAATAACTAGGAGGAAGATGGTAATTTTCATATGTTTTGAACAAGCAGCATTCTTTCCAGCTGTCATTTCTCTGTGCTTGGAAACTGAAGGCCCCCCCACTCCTTGAAACAAGAATGGCTGGAGGCAAAGGCAACTTCCTCAGAAAGCAGTTCTTGCATTTCCTTCTCCGCGTCTTGGAGCTAACTAATGAACACCATGTCATTACTGCGCTTTGCATTGGCATCTCCCCACCCCGGCTGGCAGCCCACCACCACCCGAGCCGACAGTAACACAACGCTTGGCAGGCACAAACACTGAGATCCCACAATCCTGAAGCTTGGAGCTCGCTGTTGAACGGCTTTAGTTTCACTTCATTTCACTCAAGAAAAAGCAATTTCAAGCTGTTCTGGATGCTTGTTAAAAAACAGGAGCATGAAAAATGAGAGTGAGGAAATTGGCCTGCTGAGCTAGGCAAGTAACAGAGACCAGCACAATCCCCCCAAGCTCTGGGCTTGATCGGGGTAGGGGAGAGCAGCATGTGTTAAACTGAGGTCATTTCTTTAATTTGCCATATGAAGCTGGGCTAGAGGACAGAAAGGCAGGGGGTAGCCCTGACTGCACTCCTGTGCACACAGTCTGCAGCACTGGAACAGCCTTAAATCATGCAGCCCCCTCCATACTCATGTCATGCTGACAGAAGCTCGACCACAGAGCCTCTTCCTCTGACTTGGAGCCACGTCGACACAATGGGAGCCCATTTTACCCAGCAGCGGGTGACAGAGAGTCTGATTTTTGAAGCAGCATCACTCAGCAGCTGAAATCCCCAAGTTAGCTCCGGCACAGGATCATAAGAATGTAAGGCGGGAAGCGACCCCAAGAGGTCATCAAGTCCAGCCTCCTGTGCTGGGGCAGGACAAGTAAACCTAAACCATCTCTCACAAATGTTTGTCCAACCAAGAGGATTCCACAACCACCTCTGGAAGCCTATTTCAGAGCTTAACTATCCTTATAGTTAAAAGATTTTCCTAGTATCTAACCTAAATCTCCCTTGCCCATTCCTTCTCATCCTACCTTCAGTGGCCATGGAGAACAATTAGTCACCATCCCCTCTTTATAAGAGCCCTTTAACATAGCTGAAGACTGTTAACAGGTCCCCCCCTCACCCCGTCGTCTTTTCTCAAGACTCAACATGCCCACTTTGTTTAACCTTTCCTCATAGGTCAGATTCTGTAAACCTCTTAACGCTTTTGTTGCTCTCCTCTGGATTCTCTCCAATTTGTCCACATCATTCCTCAAGTGTGGAGCTCACAACTGGACCCAGCACGCCCGCTGAGGCCTCACCAATGCCAAGTAAAGTGGGGATAATTACCTCCTGTCATAAATATAAAGGGAAGGGTAAACACCTTTAAAATCCCTCCTGGCCAGAGGAAAAACCCTTACACCTGTAAAGGGTTTAGAAGCTAGGATAACCTCGCTGGCACCTGACCAAAATGACCAATGAGGAGACAAGATACTTTCAAAGCTGGAGGGGGGGAGAAACAAAGGGTCTGGATCTGTCTGTGTGATGCTTTCGCCGGGGACAGAACAGGAATGGAGTCTTAGAACTTAGTAAGTAATCTAGCTAGATATGCGTTAGATTATGATTTCTTTAAACGGCTGAGAAAATACGCTGTGCTGAATGGAATGGATATTCCTGTTTTTGTGACTTTTTGTAACTTAAGGTTTTGCCTAGAGGGATTCTCTATGTTTTGAATCTAATTACCCTGTAAGATATTTACCATCCTGATTTTACAGAGGTGATTCTTTTTACTTTTTCTATTAAAATTCTTCTTTTAAGAAACTGAATGCTTTTTCATTGTTCTTAAGATCCAAGGGTTTGGGTCTGTGGTCACCTATGCAAATTGGTGAGGATTTTTATCAAGCCTTCCCCAGGAAAGGGGGTGTAAAGGTAAGAGAGGATTCTGGGGGGAAAGACGTTTCCAAACAGGCTCTTTCCTAATAATAATAATACCGGTTAGACATTTGGTGGTGCCAGCAAAAGTCCAAGGGCAAAGAGTAAAATAGTTTGTACCTTGGGGAAGTTTTAACCTAAGCTGGTAAAAGTAAGCTTAGGAGGTTTTCATGCAGGTCCCCACATCCTTCCCTACTCTGAACGCTAGGGTACAGAACCTTGACACCTCCCATGTCTTATCTATGGCACTCCTGTTAATATGCCTTAGAATATTCGCCTTTTTCGCAACTGCACCACATTGTGGACTCAGATTCAAATCGTGGTCCACTATAATCCCCAGATCCTTTTCAGCAGTATTACCACCTAGCCAGTTAGTTCCAATTTTGTAGTTGTGCATCTGATTTTTCATTCCTAACTGAAGTATTTTGCACTTGTCTTTATTGAATTTCATCTTGTTGATTTCAGACCGATGCTCCAATTTGTCATGGTTGTTTTGAATTCTAATCCTGTCCTCCAAAGTGCTTCCAATCCCTCCCAGCTTGGTGTCATCTGCAAGTTTTATAAATGTATTCTCTACTTCATTATCCAAGACACTAGTGAAAATATTTAATATGACTGGAGCCAGAACTGACCCCAGCAGATAGTCCTCAAAGCGTGGTTCACTGCCACACTGAGAGGGCATGTCGTTCAACAAGTTGTGCACCAACCTTATCGTAATTTCATCGAGACCACATTTCCCTAGTTTGCTTATGAGCATGTTATGTAAAATTGTGTCAAAAGCCTCACTAAAAGCAAGATATATCCTGTTTACTACTTCCCGACATCTACAAGGCCAGTAACCCTGTCAAAGAAGGAAATAAGGTTGGTTTGGCATGATTTTTCTCAACAAATCAATTTCAGCTATTCCTTATAACCCTATTATCCTCTAGGCACTTACATAAATTGTTTAATAATTTCTTTAATAATCTGTTCCAGTATCTTTCCAGGTATCGAAGTTAGGCTGACCAGCCTATAATTCCTTGAGTACTCTTTGTTC